GGGGGAAGCCACTGAGAACTCTGGGATCTAATCCCAAAGCAGGGCTCCCCAGCAGAAAACACCAAACTGAGGAGGGTACCCACATAACATCTAGCTGTGAAATGCTGTGGGGTGCTGTCTGCCAGGGAGTGGCAGCTGAAAGTTCAGGTACCCTCTTAAAGGGCCAATGCACAAAAATTCCCTTTGGAGCCACCCACTTTGTGCTCTGGCAGAGGGAGGTGAAATAGACTGGAGCTGTGAGAGCAGAACCCAGGACTGGGGACTCAGGGGATAGAGCTCCAAAGGTAGACACCCAAGTTTCCTGAGTTGACTCATTCCCTCACACAGCGGAGGACATGTTTCTTACATAGACATATGCCTTGCTTGGAGGGGGGGGGGGGAGACACAGTTGACGCACCCTATTGGAAAACACCTTGCCCTGAGGCCACTAAAGAGATTAAAAGTAACAATTAGCCTCCAGGCAGAAGCAATTGCCCCACCCTGTTGAAAAAACTCTTGCCATATCTGAGGACAATTGTCTGGGGGCAATTCAAATTAGAATCTTATTAGTCTGTAGGCAAGGCAGTCTCTTGAGGCTTTGAGTCTGTGTCTGATCTAATTAGTCAGTAACAGCCTTTAACATTGTCCTTCATTAGAGATTGACAGGTATAGAGGATCTACCTAAAACATAGTGTCAAACCCAAACAGACAACCAAAATGAGGAAACAAAGAAACAACCTTCCCCTCCCACCCCCCCCACCCCCCCCCAATGAAAGAACTAGTGAATTCTCCAGAAGAAGAGATAAATGAAGCAGGGATAAGAGATTTATCTGAAACAGTTCAGAGAAATGATGGTAAAAATGCTCAAAGGTATGAAAAAAGATATAATAACTGTGAAAAAAGAACAGTCTGAGATAAAGAATAACATAACACAAATAAAGAACACATTGGGAGGAAATATACAGAAGATTAGGGGAAGCTGATAATCAAATCAATGAATTAGAAGTTAGAGTTGAAAATATCACTCAATTAGAGTATCAAAAAGAAAAAAAAACAATTATAAAATAGAAGGACAGTTTAAAGGAGTTGTGGTACAATATGAAATGTAACAGTATTGAATAGTAGGTGTGCTTGAAGAGGCAGAAAGGGAAAAAGGAATAGAGAAGGTGTTTGAAGAAATAATGGTAGAGAACTTCCCTAACCTGGTAAAGGAAAAAGTCACAAAAGTTTAGGAGGCACAGAGAACCCAAAACAAGAAGAACCCAAACAGACCCACACCCAGATCCATCATTATTAAAATGTCAAAAATCAAAGACAAAGAGAGAATCTTAAAGGCAGCAAGAAAAAAGAAAACTGTTACCTACAAAGGAGTTTCCATAGGCTGATACCTGATTTCTCATCAGAAACTCTACAGGCCAAAAATGAATGGAATGAAGTACTCAAAGTAATGGAAAGCAAGAATCTGAGACCAAGATTATTATATCCAACAAGGCTAACTTTCAAAATAGACGGTCAAATAAAGAGCTTCCCAGACAAAAATAAATAAATAAATAAATAAATAAATAAATAAATAAATAAGGCTAAAAGAGTTCAACACCACTAAGCCAGCATTACAAGAAATGCTAAAGGGATTTCTGTAAGGGATTGCTGAGAAGAAGAAACAGAGAGGGAAACCTAGCAATACAGAATTAAAATAGCTATAAATAAGTACCTCTCAATAATAACCCTAAATGTAAATGGATTAAATGCTCTAATAATAACCCTAAATGTAAATGGATTAAATGCTCCAATTAAATTAAGTTGAATAAATATATGACCAAACTATATGCTGTCTACAAGAGATCCACCTCAAAACAAAAGATACACACAGAATGAAAATGAAGGCATGGAAAAATTTTTTCTATGTAAATGGAAAAGAAAAAAAAAAAAAGCTTGAATAGCCAACAAAATAGATTTTAAAAGCATCACGCCAAGTGAAATAAGCCAGTCAAAGAAAGATAAATATCATATGACCGAACTCATTTGTGGAATATAATGAACAACATAAACTGATGAACAAAAATAGAGCTGTTTTTGTTCATCAAAATATCCTGTTATTTGCAGATTTTTGATATTTCTCACAATTTTTGTTTTATCATAATATGTTGACGCAGTTTTGGTAATATTATTAAACTTAAAATTCTTTTACTCTTGAAATATTAATGTTTATTGCATGTAGTATTATATGTAAGATCATTTTTCTTGAATAATTGGTATTTATTGCATGTAACGTCATAATTAAATTTGTTTTTCTAGAGATATTCATGTTTATTGCATGTAACATTATATTTAAGATCATTTTCTTGAAATATTAAGGATTATTACATGTAAACTATTATATTTAAAATCATTTTTCTTGAAAAAATAAAAAGGAAAAAAATAAGGGGGGGGGGAGGAGAAACTTTGCCAGCCATACCAGAAACCCTTTCATTTGCCCCATCCTCATCACAAACCCCTTTCTCCCCCACCACCTGATTTGGTAATCACTTTCCTGCATTTCTTGTTAGTTTTATTCATCAAATGTATATCCATTGGTCTATCTAACTTGGTCTTGCCAATTAAAAAAATATTTTTGATGTGCCTTTTAAAGTCCTTAAAATCCTACAGGTTTCCTTCTCCTCCCTTCTTTTTCTTTATAATTTATTGCTGAAGAACTGGCCCATTTGACCTTTAAAATTTCTCACATACTGGGTTTTTCTGATTGCACACCCATGGTGAAGTGTAACATGTTCCTCTGTCCTTTGTGTGACTTGTAAATTGACAGCTAGAGCGGACGCAGGTGGCCGCCAATGTCGGCAGCAAGTGTTCTTTTACCGAGAAGCGCATAGTGTCTGTCTTTTGCAATGTTATTAGCTGTTTCTGCTCAATGCCTAGAATTGGTAATTTATTAGGGGTTGCACAATGGTGATATTCTAGTTATATCATATCTGTTTTAATTATTAGCTGGAATTCCTTTATAAAGAGACATTTCCTCTTATCTACTAATAGAGGCCTGATGTACAAAAATTTGTGCAAAAGTAGGTCTTCCTTCATCCAGCTGCTGGCACAGGCTTCCCTCTGGCACCCAAAACCTGGGCTGGCTTTCCCTGGGCTGCCTGCAGACACCTGGGATTTAGCTGGTTTCCCTCTGGCCCTGACTTAGTCAGGAAGAACGTCCAGAAGATGTCCAGTCTAATTAGCATATTACCCTTTTATTATTATAGACTAGAGGCTTGTGCAGGAAAATTGTGCCTGGAGCAGGGAAGTGGTGGGGAGGAAGGGAGGGCTCTGGAGGGGGAAGTCCCTCAGCCAGGCCTGCACTCTCTCCAATCCAGATATCCCTCTTGCAGTCTGGGACCGCTGGCTCCTAACTGCTCACCTGCCTGCCTGCCTGATCACCCCTAATTGCTCTCCTGCCAGCCTGATTGCCCCCTAACTACCCTCCCCTGTTGGCCTGATTGCTCCTAACTGCCTCTGCCTTGGCCCTCTCCACCATGGCTTTGACTGGAATTCGTGCAGTCTAATTAGCATATTATCTTTTTATTAGTATAGATTTGTTTGCCCAGTGGTACAGTTACCATAGGAAAAGCAAGATAAATTACTTTTACTTTATTTACCAGTTTTCAAGGTAACAAGTTGATTCCCTGTCATTCTCAATTCTTGTTACTTTATCAATATTTTTTCCTCAAGGTGGCCTTGTTTGAAAAGGGTACACTGTTTGATCAGTTTCAAAAATTCACAGGTGCTAGGCTGCTCCAGTCTCTTCAGACCTAATCCGCTCGATTGGATGAAGCCAAACCCCTCTCAGTTTCAGCTCCTGTTCTAAAATTGGCTTATCGTATGTTCCAATGAACTTGTTGGCTATTTTGAAGTTCTCTGTTTTTACATACATCAAGTGCCCTACTGCTTCCCTCTGTTTCCCCTCCACAGATGCTACTACCATCCATTATAGATCTTGTGTTCCCAATTGCTTGTATTGTTAGGCTTCTAGGGGATATATTATCAAGTTTTGTTGCACATGTTTTCCATGGGATTTTGCTTTTGGTATCGAGTTGCTTGGTCTGTTTTTATGTGGAAATCAGGGAGATTAAAAAAAGCAAAAACAACTTATTGTCATCAATGCCATCTTTCCAGAAATGGGTTAAATCCTAGAAGAGTTAGAATGAAATTGAGAATAACAGATGTTTCTGAGTTGGAAGATCTGGTGGATAGTAATTGCATGGATGAGGACCAAAAAATAGAAGATAAGGAGAAAAGCAGTAAATGGAAGATTATATTTTTATTTCATAAGTTTGAAATGCTTATGAGATACTCTAATAGAAATAACTTCTTAAGAAGTAGGCTTCTTCTGATAGTGAGAGCTAAATGATGAAAGATCAACACATTGAAAGTCATGAAGCCATTATAGGTTCAAGAAATTTCTATTTTTGGTAAAAAATACAGTATGAAATATCAGTAGAAGAAAAAGCTTATGTTGAAGATGAAAGAGACACTCATAAGCATTTGTGAAATAGTAGTTTTATATATTTTCCATAAATATGCACAACAAATGCAGGTTCACATTGAGTAGCAATTCAAAGAGGAAAATTCTATTCAAAAATCTATTTTAATGTTGCAACTGGATTTTTGGTCATTAGGTGTAGATGCTGTATATGTTGGTTATAATATTAGGAGAATGAACTTATAAAATCTATTTTTTCTATTGGAAAAATGATGTTAAATATTCATGAAGATAAAAGCACTAGATGTTGTTAGATAGTCATGAGCCAAAAGTTTTTATATTTTGAGTAGAAATGTTTACTACCACAGATCCTCTATTTCAGAGTAATTGAAAAAGAGTTCTGTCTTTTGAGCTTATATAGTTAATTCCCAGGTGCTCTGACCTCAGAGCGAGGTTTGTAAATGGTCTGTACATTTGGACACGCTTTTAAAAATTTTTCATTAACATTAAATATCAACCCAATGACTTATCTTGACCTCTTTTTCTTTTTTTCTAAAATTAGGCCAGTCTTCAGAGAACTGATATTAAACTTGAATCTCTAAAAGAAGATATTAAGAGATTCTTTAAAACATCAGGTTTGTAAGTTGCTTTTTTCTTTCTAATTCTTTAAGCCAAAATAAGGAAATACTGTATTTAAAGGAAATATTTCATCCCCATCTAATTACTCATTCAAACTTGTGAAACAGTGGCTGAATACATTTCTGTTTGGGAAGAATCAGAATTTTCAGACATTTCAATAAATGCTATAAAAAATTTAGGGTCACTGCGGTAATGACTGCTTTATATCAGTTAGTTTTAAATACTGTTTATCTTCCTAATCAAAATACATCCTGAATATATGACAAATCTTCCTCATTTAGCAACTTGTCTTTTTCTTTGTTTTGTGGTTTTTTTCCTTCTACAATTATTTTCCCTCCTCACCATTCAATGAGCAACGATAACAAAAATCCCCCTCCTTTTAGAGCAAAAAGAGAGGTTCCCCATTCTAAACTTTGTACATGGAAACTGAGATATTAAGTGGTTTACTTATCCAGAAACGTTCAAGTAGTTAGCAGGCAACATAACTGGTCTGACTCGTGGTAGGTACCTTATAATTATCCACTTCTACTTTTAGACTTATACTGACTAGTTCATTGTAACTGATTACTTGTGGTCTGTGTTTTCCATGTATCTGCAGAGGTGGTTGCTGCTGCTTCTTTCTTCTCTCCCCTGCTCCTCCCCTCCACTTCCCTTTTTTCCTCCCTCTCCTCCTTTCTTTCCCCCTCCCCCTTCTCCTCCTCCTCCACCTTCCTGTAGTTTTATTGATTTCAGAGAGGAAGGGAGAGGAAGAGAGATGTAGAAACATCAATAATGAGAGAGAATCATTGGTTGGCTGCCTCCTGCACGTCCCACACCGAGGAACAAGCCTGCAACCCAGGCATGTACCCTGACCAGAAATCAAACCATGACCTCCTGGTTCATAGGTTAATGCTCAACCATTGAGCCACACCAGCCAGGCTGCCTGGCTCGTCCTTGCCTTCCTCTAGGCACAGTTCTCATAGTACTAGTTGTGCAATGGCTAGGGATTTTAGCATTTGTTGAGCAACTTAATGTTAGAAGAAGGAATTTTTTTCTCCCAGCTTGAGAAATGGTGCGATAGTTTTACTTAAACAATAATATACTGTAATGTAGACAAGTTGGCTACTCAGTGTTTGCCGAGGGATATAATGAACTAAATTCTTAATAACACTACATAGCAATTGGCAGCTGATAAAGTTTTTTCATAAGTGAGTATAATTTTACAGTTTTAGTGAAATACATTTAATTATAATGTATATCTATCTTTGAAACTAATATGTTCTAAATTTTTTTTTTTTTTAAAAACAGGTTGGGAGAAGAAACTTCAGAATGCTGTTTATAGTGAACTGAGTGTGTGAGTTTTTCCTACCTATGTTGAAATACTATGTTTAGCTATATTTACTTTGTAAGTGCTGAATACAATAATGTTATATATATTCATGGTATTCTTTCTTATTAGTATTTTTATAGCATTTAAAATTAGTTAATACTTTAAAAATTACAGTTTTGCCTGAGAATAATAACTATATAGAGTTTTATGTCACTAAAATTTATATTATATTACAAATTTATTTATTCCGTGTAATTAGGGAATAAGATGCTTCTTTTAAGTGAATATTTCAGAAAACTGAAGCTTGTTGATTTTCTTTTTTACCATTTGGAATATTACCCTTTTTCTCTTTACAAATGACCCTTTGAACATAATTATGATATTACTAAGAATATCATACAAAAAATTAACCTCTTTGTGTATGTGGACTTGCTCTCAATATCCCTTGAGGTATATAGAACTGTTTGTCATTACAAAAACGTAGATCTAGAATGTTAGCTTTTGTAGATTATTTAATATTTCATCGTTCCTCAGTTACTTATTGAGTGCCTACTATGTACCAGTATCTGGAATTGCTCAATACAGTATAGCATGTGAAGAAACGTGCTCTAGCCGGAAGGGAGCAGTGGGCTCAGAGGCCTGGAGGGGGAACTGTGGCTCAGTGAGGGAACAGAAGTTGGACGGCTGGGTGGCATAGGGGACAGGGTCATGGTAAAGGCTGATATTAGCCATGTGGGCAGGAATGTGCTTCATGCTCAAGGCTTTGTAGACTGGATCCTAATAGCATTTGGGTGTCAATTAAAAATTGTAAGCAGAATAGTGACATGATCATATTTGCATTTTATTCATTTAACAATGTACTAGTTATCTAGTATATGCCAGGCATTATGCTAGACACTGAGATTGCAAGCACTGGTAAATATGGAAGACATTGCTCCTGACTAGCAGCCAGGCAAATTGGCAAATAGGTTGAAAATAGCATAGAAGCAGGGACAGTCTGACGGTGAATGCAGACCAGAGATGCTGGTTCCCCGATACAGGGTCAGTGGGGAGGAAAAAGCTGAGAACTATTTTGAGGAGTTTAGGGGATCGGAAGAGGAAGGAGTGAAGAATGATGCACAGGTTTCTATCTGGCAACCCTCTCTCTTCAGTAAGTGCACCCAATTTCAATCCTACATTTCTAAATTTTATTGCATTTAGAAGGACTGTAATTGTTTTTAAAATAGAAGGATTTTGGAATGATACTTAATTCTAAACCACATGTCCCTTTACAAATGACATAATGAGCATCATGAAAAATGGTTTTTAAAATGACCTTGCATAGAAGAAATACTGAGGTATCTAGAGGTTATCATGTTTTCCTTTATGAAAGGTGATTTATTCAGGTATACGGAATATAGATTTTAGTGGGAAAAACAATTAGCTAGAAATAATCAGTAAGTGAAGCTATCTTTAAATGAGGTAGGATAGGTTACTTTATTCTAGAAATATGTGTTATGGACGTTTGAGCCTTTTTCATTTAGGTTCTGGGATAGGTACAGGTAGCTTAGTATGTCATTGACCCTTCACATGCTGATGTCCCACTTTGGATGAGGAATTTCTTGAGAATTCAATGTATGGTTCTTGATTATGGAACATAGTTGTCTAGCTGCAGTTATAGGCCCTATAACTAACTTCAGTAGAAGTTATACTTTCTTCGTGAAAGAGATTTGAGTAAATAATTCGAGTATCATGTTTTCCCATGGCCTTCTGTGTGATTTCACATCACTCTGTGCCTTTATCCCAACCATTCTGTTTTGTTTGTTTTTTTTAAGGATTTTTAAACATCCATCCCAAATGTTTCCTCCCCTGCTTGCTTTCCCTTTGCCCTAGACCTTTGTATGCTGGGCTGCTGCTTCCTAGATGCTCCCCGAGTGCCTTCTTATCCTTCCAAAGCGCTTTATCCCATACCTACTCCCATTTCCTCATGGCACTTATACTGTCTGCTGTTATTTTATGTATTTACTTGTTTTTATAATTATTCACTGTCTTTCTTTACTAGAATGTCATGTATATGAGAACAGGGGATACCTTAATCACTATCAAATATTTAGTACCTAGAATGGCTCAAAAATGTGTTGACTATATAAATGATTTCTTAATAAAAACAATATATTTTGAATATAAAATGTAAAGTGACTTAGAAAACAGAAAGTATTAATAAAACATTAAAATTTTAAATTTTATTAAATTTGAAAATGAATGTAATATATAATAAAACATGGTTATTCAAATATATATTTCTATTATTATTTCAACTGTATAGAATATATAATTACGTGGAAAAGGAAAAGAGTTGATATGTTAGTATGTCAATTGGTTTTTTTAACCATAAAAAATTCCTCTAAATGTTTATATTTCTGTGTTAAAATTAATAGTTATGACAATTATGAGCATTTACAGAGCCAAATAATATTTTAAATTACTTCAATTTATGAATCCAGATAATTATGCAATTTAACAAGTAACCAAATTGCTAATCTAAAACCACAGTACTTATAGGGTAAGAGTTGAAGTTTGTCAGGTTGTTGCACCTTGTGCCAATAAATATACTGCTAATAAGTATTCTCTTTCATTCATAACATGGGCTACAGAGGTAAGTAATTTCTAAGCAAGATCATTAGTTTAATTACCAATAGTAATGTACAATATTAAGCTGCCTCTTCTTATTCCTAGGTTTCCTCTACCTATTAATCCTGCAGTACCTCCTGAACATCTTAAAGAGCCTTTGGTATACATGAGGAAAGCACAGGTTGGCTATTGCTTATTTTTATTTTCCATGTCAGGTTATATAATGCAGAATGAGAGGTCATTGGTGTCAGGAGTATATTTTATTCACTATATGAAAAACTGGGTAAGAACCAATAAAGTGATGTGAATAGTATTTATATACCCTTCTTTTTACTTTCAGTAACCACGTATGTAAAGTAATCCTGAAAACATTGAGTAAAAAAAAAAAAATACCATGTACCATACGGGTCTGAAATTTAAAATACTTTGGTATGATAGAAGTTCCACAGCTCTGTGATATTAAAGGAATGAAATGGGTATGAATTGACACACTATCCCCTTAAAATTTTGACTTTTGAAGCCAGTATTGCTGATGGCATATGTGAAAAATATTTGTTCTCACAACAGGCTATTATGTACTCAATTACGTTCTGTTGCAGAACTCAAAGGAACATACACTATAAATGGGCTGAAAACAACCAAAAATCACTTTAAAAGAATAAAATAATTTAAACAGAAAAACTGCAAAAAACAATTAAAAAAGAAAATAACTCCTGTCATGAGTCCCTCAGCATAGGCTATCTCTACTGTCTACTTGTTGTCTTCTCTCAACTGTTGAACATGAATAGGAAAATCATATTTGTTTTATGTTGACCATTAATTTTTACTACATCGATTTATTCATCTCCAGTGGATTCATTTTGCTGCCTGTCAATCCTTTTATAATTCATTATTTACTAATATTACCTGGTTTCTGGTTAGGTTTTCCCCAAGTTTCTCCATGCTTGTGTAGCCTGAAATTCTACCTCTTAACTCACTAATTGTGAACATTTGCCAATTATTTTATTAAGAAATATTTAGGTTATTTCATTTAAGCTTCCATATCTTCCTGCTTTGCTGCTACATCTTTTTGGATCAACTGTCTACTGTGCATTTCTTCTGTTGGATCAAACTCAGCATGTCTAAAACCAAGCTTCTGATGTTATTTCTAAAATGAGTACATCTTCTGACTTTGCTACTTCTGATGATTGGTTTCCATTATTATTATATTAATGTAGACATGAAATACTTTTTACCTCAGTTTTCCAAATCCATATAGTCACTAAGTTCTATAAATGATTTCTATCCACAGTCCTAGAGCCTTCAATTCTTTTTCATTATTATTACCATAGTGATCACAAGGACCAAGATGATGATCATGATGCCTATCATTGAGTGCTTACTTGGCTTCAAACATTAACATCCTTCCCTTATTCTTATACCTCTTAACTTTCAATGAGTCTCTCTATCACCTTATGTAATCTCAACACAATGAACTTGAACTACAAGCAGATTAACCCTTATAATGTATTTCACTGCCTTCTAACAAACTTTTAGTGACTCCCAGTTGCCTAACAAAATAATTTCCTACTCCAAAGCCCAACATTAAAGAATTTTTATTATTTGTCTTCAGCTTCCCCTTTCACTTTATCAGCCTTTGCATATCTTATAATTGTCCTATGTGCCCATCCAAGTGAATTATTTTGTTTTTCCCTCTTGCATCTTTAATACCTTTCTTATTTTTTTTTTTTTATCATCATGGAAAGCTCTTTCTGCCTGATTTGCATTATGAAAACCCTATTTATTTTGTGAGGATCAGCTCAGATGACATCTCTGATTTTACCACGGTTGAAAAGTATCTCTCCCTCTTTACTCTCTTGTAGCACACAATCATTTCATGGCCCTTATCACCAATTGCATTCCATTATAGTAATTTCTGTACATACTATTCTAAAATTTATGTATTTTGAAAGCAGTAATGATTTAAAAGCATTTTTATATGCCCAATATATCTTGTATGCAAACCTATATATAGCAGGAGCTTAGTAAGTTTATGTTGAGTGAATAGTAAAAGCATTTGCAATCTCTTCTACCAATGATTACAATATTCATTTTAAAACATATTTACTAAATACATACTAGGAGAAGACACTCTGCTGTGTGCTATGGAGATTCAGAAATAATAGATTCTGCCTTTACATAAACTCATGGTTTAAGAAAATTTGGACAAAAGGTAATTGCAATGTAAGGTAGAAAGTGCTGTGTGGAGTCAGAGGGAAAAAAAAAAAAGAGGAACACATTTGTAATAATCTGAACAATAAAGATTTATTAAAAAAATAAAATTAAAATAAAATAAAAAGTTAAAAAAAAAGAGAAAGAAAGTGCTGTGTGCTCTAGGGGAGGTGGCAAGGAAGTTTGTTAATGTTGACCTTGATCATCTGGCAGAGGTAGAATTTGTGAGGTTTCTTCACTGTCAAGTCTCTCCCTCCCTCCTCTGTGTACTGTACTCTTGGGAAGGAAGATACTGTGTGTAGTCCACACTTAAGGAGGGGTAGTCATGCTCTGCTTCCTTGAGGAGGGAGTATCAACAAATTATTTGGAATTTTTTCTTATGGAAGAGTTTGTTCTCTCTCTTTCTTTCTCTCTCTCTCTCACCCCCCACCCCCTATTTATTTAATCCGCTTATTTTTATCAGTATAAACTCATGGGTATTTACTTTATACTTTGGGTTTTAATCTAAAACTTCTTAATTTGCTTGCTTACAATCTATTCTGAATGTTAAAGGCTCAAAAAAGTTCTTCAGTAAAGAAACTGTTCACTTTGATTTAGTGTTGTTCAAACTTACATGACCATGGAACCCCATTTCCATGTGAAATATCTTGGGAACTACTTTGCTACACCCTTCAGAGAAAGCACTATTTGAAGAAAAGGATACACGTCATGATAAATACAAGTTCATGGGTTTTCTTGTGAAATAATACTAGTAAGCACATGGAACTCTAATCGTGTGCCAGGTGTCATTCTAGTGCTTTACAAGTGTTCACTCACTTAATAATCACGGCAAGCTTGTGAGGTGAGTTATTCTTATGATCTTTCATTCAACTTCACAAAGCTGGTAGGTGAAAGAGTTGGGATTTGAGCCTGGAAGTCTGGTTCCAAATGATATTCAATCTATTTCTCTGAACAGTCCAGAAATCTTCAGGCAAACTTAAGGTATGCTATGTGGCTGAATTTCCTCTGTTTTCTATCAGTCCGGTAACCTAAGCAAAAATGGGAAATTTGTTAGTTTTATATTATTTCAATTCTCATTCCCTTCCTAATTGGTCTTTCTGTCTTCTGTATTGTTACTCCACCTCTTAAAACTTCCAAGACTTTTAGGATACAATGCCAAACCTTTACTTTTGCTTATCAGGCTGTAACTGGTCTTGCCCCTTTTTATGATTCAAGTCTCATCTCTTGCTTCTCACACTATCCCTCCCTATGTTCCCACTCCCCTCCCCACTTCCACACACATATACACTCTCTCTGTCTAATCATATTTATCCTCTCCCAGTTGTTCCAGCAGGAGGACCTTTGCTTATGCTGCTGCTTCTCCCTGAGACTCCCCATGTATTTCTAGCCAACTTATGCGTATTCTTCAGGGATCAGGTTAGATGGTAGTTCCTTTTGAAAGGCTCTCTGACCCCCAGGTATCAGATGCTCAGTTAACTCTTCCTGTGTCTAATCCTCCACCTGGGAAGGCTCATTTGTATTATTACTAGATTCTGAAGTCCTTGTGAAACAGCATCAGTGTCTCTTTCCCAGCTGTATCTCCAACATCTGGCACAGTGTCTGTCCCGTGGTAGATGCTCAATATATATTACTTAAAATGTTGAATGAATTGAATAAACAAAAAATAGAAAATCTTCCCTCCTATTTATACTCCTTTTCCTAGTATAATTCCACACCTAGAATTTTATCTAAAGGAAAGAATCAGAGAAGCACAGAAAGTTATGTTCATGATAAGAGTAAAAACTTTAAAAAAATCTAAATGACTAACAATAGGGCTTGCTGAAATATAACATGTCATTTCCAAAAGATAATGGCATAAAAAATATCATTTTTGAGGAAATATTATGAAATAGGAAAGTGCATAGAATGTAATCTTAAATGGTAAAATCAAAATATATGACAATATAATTCCACTTTAAGAATGTACATTGAGTGTATATATGTATACTCACATATATATCTCAATTATTTTTGGATGATGGAAATTTGTGGATATATATTTATTATTTTATTCTTTACATATTCTGTTTTCCAAATTATTTTAAATGTGTTATATTTGTAATCAAAGAAGGATTACTAAAATATTTTTCCATTAAGTATCTGAGCTATTATTTTGTTTTACTTTATTTTTGTCAGAGTAAAGAAAATAATTTTTTAATTTTATAGTTTCAAAGTGTTTTTTTTTACATGCTGCATATTTATTATACAGTAAGGAGAGTGGGAACTCCTGTAATAATGTCAACATTAAAATCTTTGGAAATAAAAACAAAATATTATACAATTTTAAAATACTTTTTATTTATTTTCATTGTTATAAAAATATAGCACGGTGATAGCTAATACCCATTTAAAGATTTTTATACAGTTATCATTCTTTTATTAATCTGTTGCCTCTCATGACTTAGAAATTACCTTATTTATAAAATTCTTGAAATCCTTTGAATTAATATCATACATTCCAATTATTAAGGAAACTGATTTTAAGCCAACAATAATTTCATTTGGCGAGGATATGAGTTTGGGTAAAAGGTAATATCTTCCTATTTAAACATTTTAAATGTAAAAGGCCATTTATTTTCCTTCTAACTAACATTTTAAAGCTTTATTTATCTTATAAGTCCTTTGGGTAGAAAACATTACTTTTTTTTATTTTGTACTAATGAACTGTCATTTTTTCAATAACTTATTGCTAATTCCATTTTTTGGGGGGGATGCTAAGTGTATATTAAAATTTTAATTTAATAGCTCATAAATAACTATGATTTTTTTAAGAATTTATTTTTGAGAGTTAGGGTTTAATCACTTCTACAAATACAACCTGAGAAAAATTAACTATCTATAAAACTGGAGCTGAAGTAGATCTTCCAGTTTACCCAATGCAACCTCTGGAGTTTATTGTCTTTTGCTTAACTATTTCTGAAAACAGAACTCAGTGTCATTTATTTAAGCCATTTGGTTAAGTCATTCTATTTGTTGGGGAGTTTTTTTCTTATAATAACCAGTCAAAGGCTCCTTATTACATTTACCCACTGGTCCTAGTTTTGTGCATAACATATAAAAAGCATTCAATATATGTTAGTCAGTGAGCCAGCGAGTAAACAAAGGAATGAATAAATGCCACTTAATTGAGATTAGAGTTCTTAAGGGAACCTAAAGTCGACCCAGCTTGAAAGCAACCACTTTCTTCTTGGATTTCCCTTCATTGTCAGTAAATTCTATTTCTGTTTCTGAGATCTATGGAAATGACTTCTTAACCTTGTTGAGGTTCTTGCAAGTAGAAAAGCTAGTATATAGACTAATCAATATTTTTTGACTGAACTAAAGTATGAAGATAACCAATCTCAACCAACATCACCATTTCTATATAACTCATAATATCTTTAATTTTTAAAAATTAATTGTTAACAATACTGAAACAATAATAGATTATTCTTTATGTTTCAGGGAAGTTGGGAAAAAAGAATTTTGAAGAGTTTAAATAGTATGTGCACTGAATTGAGTATCCCATTGGCACGAAAGGTACTTTTAATATTTAAGTATTTTTCTATAAATCAAGCACTAGAAAATATATTGAAGTTTAACTTAGGCAGATTTATCTTTTTTTTTTTTACTAGTATATGAGTTTGTTTTAAAACAAAAATATATAAAATATTAATCATGTGCATGTATTCTAAATATATAGATTTGTGTTATGTATGCTGTAATACTTTTTATAATAAACCTATAACTTGAGAATAAGTAGAAATAAAGTTTAGAATTTACACTATAGATTATTTAGAGACTTGGCTGTAAAGGTTATAGATGCACATTAGAAATTTCAGTTACCTGTTGACTCCTTATTTTCTGGCTAATTAGCAAAATTGCCATATTTTTGATGGCTTACTGTCATCTTATAATAGCTAATATGATGCCATCTTTCAGTGTTAACATAGGCAATGAAAAGAATGATTTGTTATCTCTCTACAGAACTATTTAGATGGAATAGTATTAGCTTTACTTAGATCTAGTACTCAACATTTATCTGTCAGTCGGGGCTTCGAGCAAGGAGAGATGAAAAAGGAGAGAAAAGCCGCTTGAGGAATGTTCTGGATTCTTTCTAGCTGCTCCCAATTAGGAGAGAACAAGTTTCTCTTCACTTCATTCTTCCTACCTGCTATTTGTTCCCTGCTGCTGAACAGAATATAGTGGATGTACTTCAGATAATATCCAAGGACAAGTCACTGAAGACACCAGAGGATGGTGCTAAAAAAGATAAATTTATATTAAAACTGTCTAAATAGGAAGTATATATAATATACTATCTTTTGTATAGGAAGATGATGCTACTGACTTAGTCACACTCTCTTAGCCAGTCCCCCTTTGCCATGCATTTCTGAGATTGCTGGAGGGAGTAAGCGATGTAGTATGTGGCTGAGGAACAGTTTCTGTGTGTGCAATTTACTGACCAGTACAGTTTATTTACTTTTTTTTCTTGGACTCATTAACTGAGCCACTGAAACTAGACATAATGGTTAAATAATAATCGTAATTCTAAAAAAGTTTGTGTGTAGTGAAATTATTTTTCCTTATGTTATAGTACCTTATTTAAATGTTTAGATGAGTTATTGATTCTTATTTTTCAGCTGCATTGCTAAACTTGACAAAATGAAACTAATTTTTAAATTGCCTTTTCTAGAGGCCAATTGGAGAACAGAAAGAACTTCTTAATAAATGGAATGAAATGGGAACTGATGAACCAGGTATAAGAAGAGCTTTTTCCAAGATGTGGTAATGGGGGTGGAAATTGCCTTCTTAATTGTGGACCCAAAGTAACAATATTAACAGTACTTTAGGACAGATAGCAACTTTCCTTTCCCACAAATTTATTGTCATCTGTTTTGTTTCTACCTTTGGTCAGTGTTCTCTCTTATTTTGAAAATATTTAAGGCAATTATCCTTTTTTAAAGCAGTATTTGAAAACATTTTTATAAAAGAATAAATTAAATAATTCTTAGTTTTCTTAGGCTCAAAGTTAAAGTAAATATTTTTTGAGCTTTAATTCTTTTGAGATGTTAAAGATAAGTTAAATGGTGAAAAGTTCTAAAACTTCTAAAGTATTTTTAGAAACTTATTGTGGGGTCATTTTAATGTTTAAAACCGAGTCAATCAATTCTATAAACATGTAATTAGTGACAACTATATATACTTTACTATGATACATATACTGTATATTGGCATAAGTACACATCTATATAATTTCTCACTATCTTCCTTAAAAATAAGTGTGGGGGATTGGGCAAGAAATAAAAGCTAAGTGCTATAACTAGGAAGCAGTGTGTCACACAAGTTCAAAAGGAAGGACAGTTCAGAACTAGAGGAATTCACTGAGAATGTATTGTTTGTATTCTACGCACTTTGAGAATTCTCATATAGAATTTTTATATTATATTGACATTGTTTATTCAATTCAGTTATAAATAATCTATTTAAATAAATAATCTATTATAAATCTATGAAAGGGAAACTCAGTTTCTTTCAGAATATGCCATCTAGGCTGTCAAGGGAGAGGGACTCTCTTTTTATTTTTGTGTTACCAATACTTACCACAATGTGTGACAAATAACCATCACTGTACAAATGATTGACTTAATCTAATTGCACGGTAATGAATGCAAGAATCATTCATATTTATTATTAATAAACATATACTGTGTTAACTGAAATTTTGTTTGTAATCAGTTTTCTTAATTCTAGATTTAAGCCATTTTAGACCTGTTTATGCTCCTAAGGATTTTCTTGAGGTAAGTACTATTGATTAAATATATGTATGATAATGAGGGGGAAATGTGAAAGAAATGTTGATATAAGAATATCTCTAGGCAGAGGAATCATCATGTAGATAGCCCCCAAGTCAATGACGCAGTGAAATGACATGATCAGATTTGTGTTTGGATATTGCTATTGGACAATATATTAATTAGAATGTGGAAAATTTAGAGGCAAGTAAATCGATTAGGAAGATTTTTATTAAAAAACTAGAGGTCCGGTGCACAACATTCATGCACTGGGGTGGGAGGAGTCCCTCAGTCCGGCCTGTGCCCTCTTGCAGTCTGGAACCCCTCTGGCTGGCAAACAGACATCCCCTCAGGGATCAGGAGCACTGCTGCAAAGGCGGGAGAGACTCCTGCCACCACCACTGCACTTCCCAGACGTGAGCCTGGCTTTTGGCTGAGCAGCGCTCCCCCTGTAGGAGCACTGACCACCAGGGGGGCAGCTCTTGATCATCTGCCCCCTGGTGTTCAGTGCACTTCATAGTGACTGGTCATTCTGCCGTTTGGTCGATTTGCATATTACCTCTTTATTATATAGGATAGTGACTATAAGTCATGTTGACTGCTGCCTGGCACATATAGGTGCTCAAGGAAACTTTTCCCTTTTTATTCCCTCCTTGTTCTAGTCCAGGCAATAAACAATGTAAACACAGGGGCTATTAAATAGAACATTATAAATGACAAGTTAATACATTCCATCCCGTCTTGACTAGACTACCAGGTATCCCTGGAGATACTCATAAATAGAAATTCACCTGCTGCAAGCTCTTTCTGTCTTCAACTGCTCTATCTCCAACAAAGGCTTTGCTTATTTTTGCTCAATAAACAATTGTTAAATGAACAAATGAATCTTTCATATTTTATTTTTATTCCTTTTCTGAACCTGTTGTCTCTGATACCAGTTTACCAGCATTAAACATTGTTAGAAATCTTATCAGGTTGTTTGGAGTATAAATAGTTTCCTTGTAAATTTAAAGAGAAGTTAGGTTGGTCAGTAACTGTACAGTGATGGTATTATTTCTCTTAGCTTATTAAAGGTTTCTTCTAAACTCTTTCCTTTTCTAGCACCAAGGGCTGAAATTTCATGTAATTTTTATATGGTTATTTTTAACTGTGTTTTCTCTCTAATAGTCATATATTCTGTTTCCTTAGGAACTGTTGATGCTTTTCTTACTATTTATGCTGGGATTCTTCCTTAATTCAAGAACATTTCCTATAGTTATTTCCTTAGTTATAGTGCCTGCATTTTTAGTATTTTCTCTTTCCTATCACTCATGTACTCATAGCTTCCTTTTCTTTCCCAGTCTGTGTTTGTGAGTTCTCCATACAGTATCTGTGTAATTAGTATGAAATTGTGCTGTATTTAACATGGTTGATTCTTTGCTAAATCTTTTATTTTTAAACAAATACCATTGATATTTTCAGTTTAAATTTAGTGTTTGCAATATTATGAAACTTTGAGTATTATAGCACATTCTGTCTTATCAGCGATTAGTTATTAGTTCAGTGCCTTCCTCAGATACCATAGTGTCTCTGTCATCATCATCTTCCCTGGACTCTTGATTATTGGTTTCCCTCAAGAGTTTTAACTTTAAAATATTTTAAAAACTTATGATTATTCTTGCCCCCAATTAATGTTGATAGTAAAATAAGAAAACATATATAAGAAAAAAATTTTAAATAAAATTACTCATAATACTGTCATACAGCAATAGACACAATTATCATAATTTTTAAAAAATATATTTTATTGATTTTTTTTTTTTTTTTTTTTTTTTTTACAGAGAGGAAGGGAGAGAGACAGAGAGCCAGAAACGTCGATGAGAGAGAAACATCGACCAGCCACCTCCTGCACATCCCCTACTGGGGATGTGCCCGCAGCCAACATATATGTCCTTGACCGGAATCGAACCCGGGACCTTTCAGTCCGCAGACCGACGCTCTACCACTGAGCCAAACCGGTTTCGGCACAATTATCATAATTTTTAAAACATCCTATATTATGAACATTTTTCATGTTATTATTTACATAAATTACTTTTTACATTGTATTTTTATTATGTGAATTGATCATAATTTAAGTAATTCCCTTGAATGGGATGTCTAAGTTGTTATATGTTTTTCCATTATAAACAGCACTGCATTAGCATTCTTTCTGCCCTATTTTTGCAAACATTTTATATTATTTCCACAACTATACTCATAGATATGAGATTCCTAGATTAAAGGATATGCAAATTTCCATGAGTTATTTTATCTGCTTAATTTTGAAAAATATGTAAATTGTCTTTATTGTGAGCTTGGCTTCTGAAAATTTGTTTTTCCATGTGGGTTTGGTTTAGAGGTGATACCTCCCAATATTACCTTAGTATCTTTCTAAAAAACATTGTCAATATTAGTTTTTAAAAGGGTTACAATTGGTTCTAAAAATTTCCTTGGTAAATATTACAGTCAAATAATTTTTATTTTTCTAACACCTTTCCTGGTAAATTGTTATAATCAAACAATTTTTATTTTTTCTTACCACCAAAAGTTTTTTTTTTTATAATTAAATTTTTAAATTTTTATAATGAAATGGTAGATCATCAGTTGGAATATTAAACCATCCTAATTAAAAGCATGTTTATGGTATTTTAACATTTTAGTACAATTTTTCAGTATTTTAGAATGTTATTGAAGTATATGATTAACCCCAAATAGTTTTTAATTTTGTGGTGATACACCAAGAATATCACTGCCAATTTTAGAAGTATAAATGTTCTATACAAAACTAATCAATTTTGTTGGGTTTGTTTTTAAAGGTATTAATTAATCTTCGCAACCCAAATTATGAAAATGGTGATTCTCTTGGTTTCAGGACTCATTTGGGTTTAATCCAAGTTCCTCTGAAAGTAAAAGACATCCCCGAATTGGTAAGTATAGGTTTCCAAGAAAAACACTGAAAGTACAGATAATCTTACTGGCTTGACCACATGCAAAATTGTTTTGAGAAAGATCTTTTCAGATTGTTAAAGTGTGCAGGAAAAGTTAAGTGAATTTAATTAAAAAGTATAAGAAAAGAAATACATTTATAACATGTTATGTGGTTCAGCAGTGAATTACATTTAAATTGTCATAGTAATGTAAACAATATAGATTTAATCAAGAATCTATCCTACCTAATAAAAGAGTAATATGCAAATTAACCATCACTCCGCTACTCCCACAAGCCATGCCCACCAGCCACACCCACCAGCCAATCAGAGAAAGCATGCAAATTAACCCAAACCAAGATGGCTGCTACCACAGAGAGCAGGAGGGAGGCTAGGGTTTCCCCAGGCAATGGAGGAAGCCAAGTTTTCCACTTGCCCTGGCCGGCCTAGGCCTCCACTCCAGGCTACAAAGTTTCAATTACAGAAGATACATAAAACCAAATAGAAATGGTGGCAGCAGGAGTGAGCAGGGGGCTTAGCTCCGTTCTAGGCTACAAAGTTTCAATTGTAGAAGATAAATATATCACAGATACCAGGGCCTCCTCTTGGGTCGCTGGGGGTGTGGGGGGGCATGGCCGGCCTGCAAACCACCACAGGCCTCTTGCCCAGGCTTCCCCATTCCCCAAGGGAACCCCCACTCTGATCTGGGACACCCTTCAGGGCAAACCAGCTGGCCCCCGCCCATGCACCAGGCCTCTAACCTATCTAATAAAAGAGTAATGTGCAGATTGACCATCACTCCAACATACAAGATCAAAATAGCTGCTCCCATGTGGTCAAAGATCCTTCCCCCATGTGGACACAAGATGGCCACCACAAGATGGCCAGCAGAGGAGGACAGTTGGGAGAGTCCAGGCCTGCAAGGGAGGGCAGTTGGGGGCGATCAACCCTGCAGGGGAGAGTAGTTAGGGGTGACAAGGCTGGCAGAGGACAGAAGTTGGGGGCAAACAGGCTGGCTGGGGAGCAGTTAGACATCAATCAGGCTGGCAGAGCAGTGGTTAGGGAGTGATCAGGCTGGCAGGCAGAAGTGGTTAGGGGCAATCAGGAAGGCAGGCAGGTGAGCAATTGGGAGCCAGCAGGCCTGGATTGTGAGAGGGATCCCAGATCGGAGAGGGTACAGGATGGTCTGAGGGGACCCCTCCCTGATGCACGAATTTTGTGAAATGGGCCTCTAATATATATATATATATATATATATATATATATATATATATATATATATATATATATATATGCCAAGTGACCGAATGCCAGAATGACTGGAACAGCCAGTTACTATTTCGTACACTGTGGCTGACCAGCAGGCCTGATTGTGAGGCGGCTCTCTCCCCCCACCCCCCCGGCTGGCCCTGTCTCTGATTGGCCCCCCACATCCCAATCAGGGGTGAAGCTGGCTGGCCAACCTCCTGCGTCCCCTCTCCCTCACTGGCCCAGCCTGATTGGCTTCCATTGAGGGAGGGGAGGCGGGCAGAACCCACCAGTGTACAAAATTCATGCACTTTTTTTTTTTTGGGGGGGGGGGTCCTTATTGCTGCTGCGGAGGCAGGAGAGGCTCCTTCCACCACTACTGCACTCACCAGCCATGAGCCTGGCTTCTGGCTGAGCGGTGCTCCCCCTGTGTAGCACACTGACCACCAAGGGTCAGCTCCTGCATCATCCTATATAATAAAACGCTAATATGCAAACTGACCGAACAGTGGAGCAACTGGTCAGTATGACATGAACTGACCACCAGGGGGCAGCTCTTGTGTTGAGTGTCTGCCCCCTGGTGATCAGTGCGTGTCATAGCAACCAGTTGTTCTACTATTTGGTCAATTTGCATATTAGCCTTTTATTATATAGGATGATGGTGAGAAGTCCTCACTTCCCATAAAAACAAACAAACCCAGTAAATATCTGAAACTGGTAAGTTAAAATAGCAATATACACTTGTTACTTGAAATATGGAGATATATACCAGAAAAAAAGTGGTTGTCCCTGGATATGGCCAATTATGAATGTGTGTGTATGTGGAGGAATGTATAAGATAGAGAACTTATGCTGTTTTTATAATAAGTCTTTTAGTGGATTTCACATCATAAACTATTTCTGCATGTAGAGATAGTGTAGGTGATTAGATTCTGAAGCAAACTAACTAGCTGTGTGACCCTAAGGAAATTTTTTTAACTTGAGCTTTACTTTTCTTATTTGTAAAACTAGAGGCCTGGTGCATGAAATTCGTGCAGTGAAAGGGTTCCTAGGCTTGGCTGTAATCAGGGCTGATCTGTGGGGTGACCAGTGGGGTGATCGGGGGGCCCCCCACTGGTACCTGCTTAATTTGTGACTAATATTTCAGAAATTGAGGCTACACCTGCTGACAATATGGTTAGTCCTTCTCTTCCTGTTGTCATTAAGGATAGTTGTCCCTGCCTTTCCTGAACCACAGGGCCTGGATGTGTAATGATTCTGTCTGCAGGATGCATGGTTTATCTGTATTGAACTTGGTGAAACTTAGTGAGTCCTAAGGTACTTCCTATACTGGATGGCCCTTAAATCTAGGTCACAATGTTTTATAAATTCATCCACGTTAAATGAAAATTCCTACAAAGTTGCAGACACTAACTTCTGTTTACTAATGCAGCCAGGTGGAGGCAGCAGGGTAGAACTAGAGCTCCATGGTATGGTTTAATGTTGCTGAGCCCAGCTATGAGTCTTCTGTTACCACCCAAGTTCTGGGAGTGCCCATGTGTATGAGCCATTCTGTCTTTCAGGACCTTTGGGGTAGTGGGAAGATGGACAAGTATCGATAAAAAAATAATTTTAATATAATGTGATTATATGGTTTGGTAGAGGTTGAAAAAGGTAATATGCATAGAGAGTTAACCAAATCAGCCTGAAATATCAAAGAAGGAATCCCCGAAGGCCAGATATTTTAGGGGAATTTTAAAGGTAATCTGAGTTTAGGGGCCAGGTGTACTGATGATGAATAAAAGTCTAGAGCAGTGGAATAGAAACAATGTTCAGAGCTTTTTTTATGCTCCTCACATGTTTTAGCATAAGTATAATTCCCCATTGTGACAATAGAACCTAATACTGAAATGCTTATTGGACTTACTAAGTCCCTCTTTAATATGAAGATTAAATTTATTAAAAAAAAATCAAATACGTTATCATTAATTCTAATGATTTTAATGAAGGAAGAGTTTGAAATAAATGGAAGACAATGGTTGAAAATGGAAGAATAATATTAAATTTTTACCTCTAATCTGAAAAATTGGTAACATGATGCAGTGTTATTTTAAAGTACAGATGAAAATCAAGTTTAGTTAAGAATTGAAATATAATGGTAATTATTTAAAATTAATACAAAAATGAAATGTATGTGCTTATTAGGCTCAATAACTGTCTTGTGAGGGACACTTGTAAATTTTGAACTTAACTAATAATAGATAATTGGGAAGGATTAAAATTCATTTTATTTTTTAAAGAAAAAGGAAGTTTGGTTTTAGCAATTGAATAGTAACAAAACACTAAGCCAATTAAATATTAATAGAAATATTTAATTACTTAGGGAAGAAAAATAATACAAATAACATGGGATTGTTATATATTTTTAAAAATAACAGACAAACATGATTACTTTCCTTAGACATTACTAGATAAGTAGAGGAAGTCTGGAGAATAAATCTAATTTATTCTTATTTTAGCAGAGCACTTGATAGTCTAATCTTACTTAAAAATTAATTAAGTTGTTTTGGATATTTTCATTGCTTAGTTGATTAAGAGCTGAGTGAAGTACAGTACCATACAAAGCATAGATACAGAATTATATTGCTAATTTTAGACAATGATATTAGAATTGACAATGGTTGCATATAGTGTGTGCAGATGTGTGTTTCAGGAAAGAGTTGAATGTTAATATTTCTTTCCTCAAAGGATAGTTCATTTCTTACTTTACTGACTAGCCTATTACCTAAAAAGACAAAAAGTAAAATAAAATAAAAAACTATTTTTAAAGTAGTTTTTTAAAACATTGACAACAAAGTAAAAATCTTAGATAAAAGAAATTAGGAGAAAGAAAAATACTATTATAAGTTCTTCCTTTGGAGAGATATTTTATATTTAAGTTTTTCCCCATAATATGTTGATTTTTCCTAACAGCTTTTATCTTTTCTATTCATGTTTTTTTTTTTCTCCTCATGAAATAAAAAATGTAAATGCTATGTAGCAATACTGTAATAAAAAAAAATCATGGTTGTTCTGCTCCTTAATATTGATCAGTGCATTATTATTTAAAGGTTCAATAATGGCTTTTTCTTTTTCTTCTTTTTTTTCAATCCTCACTTGAGGATATTTTTCCATTGATTTTTAGAGAGAGAGAGGGAGAGAGAGAGGGAAAGACAGAGAGAAATATCGATATTAGAGAAACACATTGACTTGCCTCCTGCAGGAGCCTCTACTAGGTCCCTGGCCAGGAAGGAGCCTGCAAATGACCAGAATCGAACCAGGACACTGTGGTCTGCTCTATCCACTGAGCAAAATTGGCTAGGGCAGGCCTTTTCTTCTTCAGATGTTTGAAGGAAGCAAAGATTCAGTTTGTATTGTGATTTTTATTTACACTGATGTTTAGGTGAAGATTATTATTTTTTTACATGTAGCAAAGTTTGAGATGTATGTTAATTCTGTGTGTGTTGTTTTTCAGAAAGAATTATTTGTAGAACTCGGCTTAACTACCGGACAACTAGGTATAGATGATTCTACACAAGTGCCTCCTGGTTAGTATTTCTCCCATATGGCATATGATTAATGATAAATGAGAGCGAGGCAAAAATGTATCTTGTTACTTCCAAATAAATCTAATAACATTTTTATATCTGAAAACAAAGCATACTTTTGCCTTTCCTTGGTTTTTACTAAGTATTGAATAGAATTCTATATGTTATAATGATCAGAGTGCTACTTGATCTTGTCTTTTTATTTGAAGCCCAAAATAATTTTGATAAGTTCTGGGGCATACATAAGTTATTTTGTTGGCAAAATCTTTATTGGCAGAACTCATATATCTCTTTTCTGGAAATCACTATTTACTTTTATTATTTTTCATAGCACCAAATTACACAAACACAGACATTCCACCTTGAATAAACTCAGGCTTTAAAATCACTATCTCTTAAACCTTAATCATTTAGAACATTTTCTTAACTTTTCTCTTTTTGTGTATAAGTGCAACATGGTTATTATAAAAGCCCAGGTTCATATTTAGCTATAATAAAAAGGAAATAAAAATTGATTTAAAATGTGGGAGGCCTGTATTGTAGTGGAATTAAAACTAGACAGGTATCAGGGAACTATCCTAGACTCTCATCTGCCACTGGCTTGCTATGTGTCTTGGACAAGTCGCTTTACATCTTTGCACTTGTTTCTTCTATAAAATAAGGAAGCTGGATATTTATTATTCTTAGTAATAATAACAAACATAATAATAAACAGTTATTGAACATATGCTATGTGTTATATATATAGTGTCTCATTTTACTCTCTCAGCAATCTGCAAGGTGTGTTTATTACTTCCTCTAAAATTACTTGTTTTTAATGCCTTGGGGAAAGTGTATATCATACAATATGGTTCAAGACATTTTTGTTAATTGGACAAATACAGATTAATAAATTGAAGCCCATTCTTAATCTCTTTTAATTTTTACCCTCCAGGCCAAAGACCACTATTCAATTCCTCCTGGCATAGATTAGTTTTGCCAATTCTTGAACTTTATATGAATGTAAACATATAAAATTTTGTTATATTTGGGGCTTTTTGCATTATAGTGTCTGTTGTATCAACATACCACGCACATTTATTTATCCATTCTACTATTGATGGGTATTTGGGAAGTTTTAAGTGTGGGCTATTACAAATAAGGCTGCTGTGAACATCCTAGTGTGTGTCTTTTTGTGAATATCGATATATGTTGAGTATACACCCGGGAATGCAATTTCTCGGTCCTAGAGTTGGCATAAGTTCAGCTTTTAAAAGTGGTAGTACCAGTTTACACTTCCATCAACAATGTGTGAAAACAGTAGTTGCTCTATATGCTTGCCTATGCTGGGTGTATTCCATCTTCTTTGCTTTAGTCATCCTGGTGGTAAATAGTGGTATTGTATTATGGTTTTAATTTTTTCCCATGATGTGAGATAGAAGTAATACCACCATTTTAAAGTTGAACAAGTGCAGATGTAAAATAACTTGCCCAAAGTCCCAAATATTAATGAGTGGTAAACCAAGATTCAAAACTAAGAAGTCTGCCTTCCTGAATGGGAATTGATTTCTTTAGAAAAGGTGCTCAACAGAGCTCCCAGCGAAAAGTCAGTACACTACAATCGGGAGAGGATGCCCACCAGAACTGGCTATCCTGGCATGCTGTTCTTGCACTTGTAGTCTCCAGAACTGAGAAATGATTTTCTGTTATCTATAAGCTACCTAGTTTTATTTCAGCGACTTGAACAGACTAAGACAGATATCTTAACTTATACTTCTGTTCATGGCAAGTGATAATCTATAATAATAAAAGCATGCTCTGCTAATTAGACTGAATGTCCTTCCCGCCATGGCTGAAAGGGAGGGATCTAGGTAATTGCCCACAGCTACAAAGGCCTACTCTTGCACGAATTTCATGCATTGGGCCTCTGGTCATATATAACTAACAAAAGGGGAAAGAAATAGTAATATAACCTTGAACGATATCTATGTTTTTCACTTTTGAAAAAGATTTTTAAGAATTGTTTTAAATCATTCTAAACTTATAATAGCTATGCTTTAGAAAACTAATTTTTCTCTTAACCTAGAGTATAGTTCTTTGATTCACTCATAAGACAACAAATGTGGGTGAGATCCTGATAAGGGCCAGAGACTAGTGAATACGTAGATATGATGTAATTTTTGTTTTTAGGGAAGATATAAGATTGAGATAAGACTCACCTAGCTTTGGCTATTATTATATAGTAGGGGCCCATTGCAGGAAGATTCCTGCAAGCAGCTACTGCAGCCATGCACGCTGCTACTGCTACCTGCCTAGCCCACCCTGCCCCACCTTTGCTTTCCCTCTGGCAGCTGCCTTGCTTTCCTCTTTCCCTCCCTCTTCCTTCTATGCTTTCTTCAGTCTTCACTCCTCTCTCCCTCAGCCTATGCAAATTAACTGCAATCTTTGTTGGGTTAATTTGCATACTTGCTCTGATTGGCTGTGGGCATAACGAAGGTACAGTCAATTAGCATTTTTCTCTTTTATTAGTGTAGACAAGGGGTAGTTGGAACAGAAGAGAGAGCACCTCAGTCAGCCTGAAGGAAGTTGAAAATCTTGTTAGTTGATGCAGTTATTTTTGCTCCCTGACTTTTCAAAGCAGGACTGCTGAAAATGGGGTTGAATTAGTGTCCATTCAATGAGCTTTTTTTTAGTGGTATAATACTGAAATTTTGCCTGTCTTCAGAATTGCTAGGCAACAGAATTACTTGGAAAGAAAAATGAGGTCATATAGAACTACTTTTACCTGGAGTAAAAAATTGTTTTTTATTTTTTATTTTTTACTATATGTTTATGGGTTTGGTTAAATTGGAAATATAATGCTAAATATTTTGAAAATATTGCTAATAGTATTTGGCTAGAGGCAAGTTTCATATTTAGGATTAAGTTTAAATGTGATTTACAGAAACCATATCCTTCCTACTCATCTTTTTAAAAATATATAATTAATTTTATTTTACTTTTTTATTATGTTTTGGTTTCAGATGTACAGCTTAGTGGTTAGACAATCATATAATTTAATAGTGTTCCCCTCATATTCCTACTTATCTTTAAAAACGTGAATTACCTATGTTTTACCCATACTGTTTTTCCATTTTTATATTTGAAGTGCATTTCTCACTAACTTATCAGGTTTATATAAAAGTTGCTAGAAGAATCCTTATCAATTAATGTAGACTCTGTATTTAATAATAATAACAAAGTCAGACATTTATTATTTCTATAAATTCTCATGAATATGCATTTATTATAAATATAGACACACACATACTTACTATGGAAACCACTGATAATACCTATGCTATGAGAGGAAAGGATGTGCAGAATCAGTATTCTTTTATGAAAAAGGAGGCTCATATTTCTGATATTATTGTCTGAATATCCTACCTAATAATAGAGTAATATGCAAATCAACCATCACTCCACTACACTCACAAGCCACACCCACCAGTCAATCAGAGCAAGTATGCAAATAAACCCAACCAAGATGGCTACAGCCACAGAGAGCAGGAAGGAGGCTTGGGTTTCCCAGGCAATGGAGGAACCAAGCTTTCCACCAGCCCTTGCCAGCCTAAACCTTCACTCAAGGCTACAAAGTTTCAATTATAGAAGGTAAACAAATCCAAACAGAAATGGGTGCAGCCACAGGAGCAAGCAGAAGGCTTGGCTCCACTCCAGGCTACAAAGTTTCCATTGTAGAAGGTTAAATAAATTCCAGATACCAGGGCCTCTGCTTGAGTCACCAGGGGGAGTGACCAGCCAGCAAACCACCACAGGCACCTCGCCCAGGCCACCCCACACCCCAAGGGAACCCTCACCCTGATCTGGGACACCCTTCAGGGCAAACCAGCTGGCCCCCGCCCATGCACCAGGCCTCTAACCTATCTAATAAAAGAGTAATATTCTTAGTAATAATAACAAAAATAATGCAGATTGACCATTACTCCAACACACAATATGGCTGCTCCCATGTGGTCAAAGATCCTGCCCCTACACACAAGTTGGCCACCACAAAATGGCCAGCAGGAGAGGACAATTGAGAGGGACCAGGTCTGCAAAGAGGGGCAGTTGGAGGCAATCAACCCTGTAGGGGAGGGCAGTTAGGGGTGACCAGGCTGGCAGAGGAGAGAAGTTGGGGGCAAACAGGCTGGCAGGGGAGCAGTTAGACATCAATCAGGCTGGAATGGGAGTGGTTAGGGGGTGATCAGTCTGGCAGGCAGAAGCGGTTAGGGGCAATCAGGAAGGCAGGCAGGCAAGCAGTTGGGAGCCAGCAGGTCTGGATTGTGAGAGGGATCCCAGATTGGAGAGGGTGCAGGCTGGACTGAGGGACACTCCCACCTCTCCGTCCCCATGCACGAATTTCATGCACTGGCCTCTAGTACATAATAATGAATCTTATTAGATGGGGGTTCTGCTAAATTTTTCTCAGGTTGCTATTTCAGAAAGAATAAAACATGTTCATTTGGTACAACATTTCCCGAGTGTGTTCCATGAAATATTCATCATATGCCTTGTGAAAAAGAAGGTCTTGTTTTCAAATAAGGTTTGGGAAGACTAAGCCATATACTTTTTAAAGATACACAGCTGCAGTGTGGTTTACCATGTTAAAAACTGTGAGAAGTCCAAAGTAAACGTTGGTCTTAGCATTTCTAATGACATTTTACCAGAGAATCTTTTTTTCCAATCAAGATCTCCTAATGTATATTCATCTATTAACATAGTGGTCCTCAGACCATTCCTTGAGGAATGGAAATTCTGGTTCTGATTTCTTTGAGTGTCATATTCTTAGACCATAGTATGGTACTTGGAAAGCAAAATTATTGTATTTCATAGAATAAATTCTGTAAAGAATTTATTTTGTACTGCTTTCAGTGTATCATCTGGTAGTATCATCCACTTTTAGAGAGACAAGAATTGGCTGACAACCTTTGATTCTTTGGTTACTAAGTCTCAGCAATGATAGCTAATTAAAATGAAACAACAAATCAAGATACTTAGGATTGACTTAACCAAGGAAGTAAAAGACCTGTACTCAGAAAACTACAGAACGTTGAAAAAAGAGATAAAGGAAGATATAAACAAGTGGAAGAATATACCATGTTCATGGATTGGTAGAATTAACATCATTAAAATATCCATACTACCCAAATCAATCTATAGATTCAATGCAACCCCTATTAAAATACCAATGGCATAGTTCACAGATCTAGGACAAATACTCCAAAAATTTATATGGAACCAAGAAAGACCATGAATTAGCTCAGCAATTAACTATTTTTTCTGAGGAAAAAACAAAAACAAAACAAAGTTGGAGGAATAATACCAGATATGAAGCTATACTGCAAAGCCATTATAATGAAAACAGCCTGGTACTAGCACAAGAACAGGCATATAGATCAATGAAACAGAACAGAGAACACAGAAATCAACCCAGCTATTATGCTCATTAATATTTGACAAAGGAGACAAGAGCATACAGTAAAGAGTTCCTTCAATAAATGGCATTGGGATAATTGGACAGGTACATGCAAAAAAATATGAAACTAGACCACCATCTTATACCATATGCAAGATAAATTCAAAATGGATAAAAGATTTAAATGTAAGTTGTGAACCATAAAAACCATAGAAGAAAATGAAGGGAGTAAAATATCAGACATCTCACATAGCAGAATGTTCTCGGATACAACACCTAAGGCAAGAAAAACAAAGGGAAAATAAATAAATGGGACTACATAAAAAAAAGCTTATGCACAGAAAAGAAACTAGCATCAGATTGAAAAGGAAACTCACTGTATGGGAGAATATATTTGCCAATGATAAATCAACATGGTTTTTAATTGAGGTATAATTACATACAATATTATATTAGTTTCAGGAGTATAACAATGATTCAATATTAGTATATATTACAGAATGATTACCACAGTAAGTCTAGTTAACATCATTTACCACATATATTACAGAATCTTTTTCTTGTGATAAGAACTTTTAAGATTTACTCTCTTAGCAACTTTCAAATATGCAATACAGTATTATTAACTATAGACACCATGTTGCAGATTACATCCCATGACAATTATTTTATAACTGGAAATTTTTATCTTTTAACTCCATTGACCCATTTTGCCCCCACCTCTGCCCTAACCTCTGGCAATCACCCAAAATTTTGCTCTTTTTAGGATAAAACCAAAGATGAATGAGCAGAAACATTTGGTGTTTTGAGAAAATATTCTGTTTTATTTTAACAAAAGAAAAGTAGTTTGTCATTTTTTATTCTAATTAAATGCACTTAACTCTTCATTTCTACAAACTTTAAACAGTTTAGAAAAATTTTATGCATATAAATATAAATATTTCTATAATTTTCTATAAAGCTAATCAGTTTTAAAATAGTTAAAAGTATTAATACCAGAAAAATATACCCATTATTATTTTAAATATGGCTGATCATATTTATGTTTATTGGTTTTATTTTACCTTTTTTTTTTTTAGAACTTTTTGAAAATGAGCATGTACGTATTGGGCAAAAAGGTAAGCTTTTGATTAAACTTATGATAATTTCTGAAAATAAGACAGTCGTAAGTAAAAATCTGTATCATATATCTCCTCCCCAACTGAATTTTAATCTCTAAAGAGCTAAAACTCTAAAAAGGAGTGATATTTAACTGCGTAGATACCATGATGAGAATCTTTCTAAAGAGGTGAAATGCATCATTTGGCTTCATCAATAAATGTCAGATAAAGATGTACACAGATGGTTCACTAAAAAGGAAATAAATGCAGACACACATTCTTCAAGGATGTTAGCTTAATCCATTCAGCAGTAGAATTTAATTTCAAAATCAAAGAGGTAGGTTCTTTCTTTGATGCGCCCACACACTTCCCATTAATGTTAATGGGAATATGCTCTGACATCAGGAGAAAATGTAACCATCACACTTACCGGCGACTGTTCATAATGCTGAGACTTAATAACTGGACCGGTGCCTGGTGTTCTGGGAAGTAATGTTCCCATCTTCTAAAGATTTTTTCTTTGTTTTTGTAAATCCTGTTTTATCTTTGAAATATGAACTACAAATAAGTCTTTGTTTTAGAATGACCCTTCTAGGGCAATTACATAGTCATATCCTAAACTCCCTGGTATAATTTTTCAAAATCATATTTATTTTTAAAACTTCATTTGTATGAATTGACATTTTTATTAAACACAATTGCAAATTAAAAATTTTATTTTTTAATTTCATACTTCTTTGTTTTGCTTGGTTTTGTCATTTTTACTTAGTATATAGTACAAATGTCAGTGGTTATCTATTATGTCTTTTTATTTGTGTGTGTGTGTGTGTGTGTGTGTGTGTGTGTGTGTGTGTGTGTGTGTGTGTTTGCGGGGTGGGATGTGGGAGGCTTTGTTTCCAGACTTAATAGCTGACATTTTCATTTAAAAAAACACCCACACACAAAAATGAAGAAAAAAAAAAAAGCAAAAGCATAGTATATCAATTTTGTGAACGTGGCTACTTATGAAAAATTTTGGCTTCCTTAAAAGGTTAGCACATTTTTTGGGTTTTCTTTTAAAAACCCTCTTTTTTTGTCATTTATGGAAGATAACTAAGAATTAGTCACCTAATAGAATGGTTATCTTATACCCTTTATAATTTTTAGCCAAATACTTTAAAAATCATACTAATTCCAAATACTAGAACATTCATGATTTAATAGACTGTGCATAAGAAACTTGGGATTTCTATAGATATGACTTTACCTGATCATAGAATCCAAAAATTATATATATGCAGCACTAGTTTCAGACCCATGGAGCTTATATTAAAGCAAAGTTAGCTCAAGATAACTTCATTAACAGTTTTCACCAGGCAGGGTAGGAGGTGGAGGAGTTGAAGGTTTAAAACATATACGTAAATGTGGCCACATTAAATAGGGCCACATTAAAATACAGAGAGCGAAGGAAGGTTGTCATGATGTGATATAAATATATTGGACATAAAGATGAGATGTTGGCTTCCCAAAAGATTTTTAATTAAAGATTCCACTGTTATTTCTTAAATTATGAAATTTCTAATGAGACTTTAATATACTTTTGCCAGTTCTAGTAGAACAAGATAGTGCCGCTGCTCAACAGTATGTCCGACAAGGAAGCCCCACAGCACTGAGAGCTGAATTATGGGCTCTCATTTTGAATATTTCCAGTCAACCTGAGGTAAGAAGGAAAAGGATAAGCCAAATTTGAACTATTGATTTTTATTTTTCAGACCAGTTATTCAAAATGGAAATACTTTTGTTCTTTAGTCTATTATTTACCTTCTTTTTTTTTTTTAAACAGTGTAGTTTTGAGTTATCTGACAAGATTGATATAATTTAATCATTGTTCTTAACATCGAATTCTTTGTTATTAATAATTAGTTAGATAGTGTGTACTTATCCATACAACAGAACAATCAGTGAATTTTTAAGAAATGGGGTCTGCCAATTTAGTTCATGAAGATGTGTGGTAGAAATGGGTTGTTACAGAGGAAAAATAAAGATGGCAACTCAGTACGAGTAAATGAGATATATTTATTGAGCATCTGGTATTGGCCAGGTGTAGAAAATGTAGTTGTGAGTAAAATAAAGCCCCTATCCTCTTAGTGTTTATAATACCACTAGAGAATTGGTGCATGAAATTCGTGCATGGAGGGTCTGTAGGCCTGGCTGATGATCAGGGCCGATCTGTAGAGCGACTGGCAGGGAAATTGGTGTGTGTGTGAGGGGGCCTGCTCACAACCACTTGGCTGGCCTGACACCTTCCACTCACCACCCTTGCCCCCGCTGCCACCACCTGTCAGGGCCTGCAGGCCGGGGGCAGCTCCTGTGTTGAGCATCTGCCCCCTGGTAATCAGTGCACATCATTGTGACTAGTTGTTCCATCATTCGGTCAATTTGCATATTAGGGTTTTATATAGATAGACTAGAGGCTTGATGCATGAAATTTGTGCACGGTGGGGGAAGGGGCTTCTCATAGTCCGGGACCCCTCAGAGGATGTCCGACTGCCAGTTTATGCCTGATCCAATATGGGAGTTGGACATCCCTCTCATAATCTGGGACCCCTCGCTCCTAACTGCCACTTACTCGCTCCTAACCTGCTTGTTCCTAACTACCTGCCTGCTTGCTTCTTATCACCTGCCTGCTCACTGCTCCTTGGCACTGCCATGGAGGCAGGAGAGGCTCCGCCACCACCACTGCACTCACCAGCTGTGAGCCTGGCTCCAGATGAGCAGTGCTCCCGCTGTGGGAGCACACTGACTATCAGGGGCAGATCCTGCGTTGAGGTCTGCCCCTTGGTGGTCTGTATGCGTCATAGTGACCAATCATTCCAGTAATTCTGATCAGTCCATCTTAACAGTTGTTTAGACATAGATAGATAGATAGATAGATAGATAGATAGATAGATAGATAGATTAATGATTATTATTTATTAAAGCTTAAGGCTGATTTTGTAAATGTGATTGATGTTTAACTTTTTGTGTTACTTTTAACTCTAGGATATCTTGTATTATGAGCAGCTTAAGACTAATGTGATACAACATGACCTTTTGGTGGACAGTCTAATTTATAAAGTAAGTAAGTTTTCATAGTTTTTTCATTTCATTATCATCATTAAACATTTTATGAGAGTCTTTAACATGCGGGGCCTGCACTATTTATAACGATACACATTAACCTTGAAAAATAATTCTAAGTGATCATTATACTTTTAAAGTTAAGATTGACCTTCAAATTTCACAGTCTCCATCCAATGTTATCTTCTTTCCTTTTGAACCTGTCTTCATGAGCCTTTACTGGTCCTCCCATTTTTTTAAATTAAGAGAATGATAACCACTTCTTCTTCTTTTTTTTTTTTTTTAATATATTTTATTGATTTTTTTTTTACAGAAAGGAAGGGAGAGAGATAGAGAGCTAGAAACATCGATGAGAGAGAAACATCAACCAGCTGCCTCTTGCACACCCCTCACCGGGGATGTGCCCGCAACCAACGTACATGCCCTTGACCGGAATCGAACCTGGGACCCTTCAGTCCGCAGACCGACGCTCTACCGCTGAGCCAAACCGGTTTCGGTGATAACCACTTCTTATCCTTATAAATTCAGGTTTACCGCTCAAACTAAAAAAGCAATTGAAAGAAATATCAGACTATAATATTTTTATCTTATTTATCTCATTCTTGTGGATCTACTTGTTTATTTTCTTGTATTGAAGTCATTTTTAATTTTTTATTTCTTTTAGTTTCTAGACATGGTTAAGCATGTCTCAAGTGTTATAAGAGGGATGCACTGAGTTTTTGTCTCCAGGTATCTGATAAGAAGTTGAGATGTAGATGCTGCAAACATGATGGAGGGTATGACTAACTTGAATTAACCATTAGATTATTTAAAACAGTTGGATTTTAAATTTAAGATAGAGGAAAAGGGTATATTACTTCAGCTCTCAGAAATGGGGGAGAGAAGATTACACAGTGAGGACCTGAAGATTTGTCTGGGAGAACATGACAACTGCGAGTGTTTAATGACTGCTTGCTATGTGCCATAGTGTGTTCCAATCTCTTTACATAGATTGTCATTTGATTCTGATAGCTACAATAAGAGTAGCAGATACCAGGACTTAGGCAATAAATGTATTTTTTTTTCTTGGGAAAAAATTACATTCTACACAATCATGCATTAAAAAAATAGAGCTCATGGGAAAAATAGGGTTGGGTAGCTTTTGCAGTTGGTAACCAGAGTACTAACAAAGGCAAATAATTGGTAGTTTGGGAGATGAATTGGATATCTCAGGCAGGTTGCTCTTGCAGGAGCTAATAAAAATGTACAAAATTAATAAAGTAGAAATGCTGAAATAATGTAGATTGAAATGGTAGGCTGAGCTATAAGGGCTGCTGCTAAGGTGGGCATGAGAGAAAATAAAGCAACAAAGGCTGGGTGTGCCTTTCTGAAGAGAGAGCAACCAATGCAGTTATTCATCTTTAACGTTCTTAAATACAGAAATAGAGATCATCCTTTCATGATTGTTATTCTACTCCTGCTGTTTTGGCTTCCCTTTTTGAAAGAAATATTGCATATGAACCAACACAATTTCCAATGTTATACTGACATCATTTCCTTACTCACCAGCCACATAGTGTTATAACAAAACAGGAAGTACTTCTATTTTTAGCACTTTACAGCTGAGGGGACCAGCTGTAAAGAAACTTGTTTAAATTTACATATTACTTAGCAAAGACAAGATTTGAATCTGGTTAAATTGACTTCTCGGCCATACTTTTAATCATTAGGCTCTCAGGGAGCAAAGATGAGCAGAGTTAAGAGGGAGAGTCTTTTGATGAAAAGTCTCAATTCTCAGAGTTTTTACATAGATTTGGATCAGAGATACCACTGTTAATTTTGAGGTTATGATTGTGCTCAGGTGATTTAATTTAGCAACAATGCAAGAGATCTTTCGGCTTTTAAGACCTTCAACTCCTTTTCTAGTCAAGTAAGAGATGACTCACAAGAAGAGTTCAGAATATCAGGGAGAGTTGCTTTTACTGCCAGGATAAATTTCAGTTTGAATCGGTACAGAAAATCTGCTGTGAGAAAGAGGTAAACAATTTGTGTCTGAAGAATTGAATACAAGTTTTGGCAGAATCAATCCTGACCACAACATGAGAGTTTTTAGGGAGAAATCTGTCTCTGATTATTCCTAATTTGTGTTAGTTGATCTCTGTTGATCTTGTTGAAACAAGTCCAAATGTTATTAAAATCAATCCTTGAGGGAATGAGCATTTTTAAAAATTATTTGAAGTTTCATTACAACTCCCTTTGGCAAAGACTCATTTTTAATTTAACTGAAAATAAAGTCAATTATTTTAGTAGTTAAAGGAATGAATGGAACAAGGCAATACTAAATATAGAAAATCATCAAACCCTCCATAAGCTAAATTATGAAATGTTTCTCTCTGGGCTGCATTTTTTTCACAAACATGTGTTTTATCCACATCGTCTACAGTTTCCCATCGCTTACTATGTCCTCACAGCTTATAGCAGTGTTTGCCAACCTTTTCCTTTTCCTAACCCATAAGATAACTAATTTTTCTCTGATGTAAAAATTAATTACCAAAGAAAAGATTTTGTTGGATAAAGATGAACTTTGGAGGTCTACAAACCATTGCGATATGTAAAATTTTTGGCCCCCAAGAATTAATTGTCACCCCTGAGGGGCAATCTCACCCCTGTGGAGAATGTGGATCTCCCTCTCTGTCCTGTTGTCTTCTGATGTAGTGGACTGGACCCTTTCTTCTCTCTTACTCGGTGTCTTTAAGTTTTTCCAGACCTCGCACACATTCAGCCACTTCCAGCATCATCCATACTCATTTCATCCTCTTTTTGCTGCTTTGCTCAACGGCTCAGTTGAATTTTGTAGACTGACCAATATTATATCAGGGGTTTCCTCAGTATTTTTTTGTAATTGTTCCCATTCTTCTACTTTGTATGTTTTCTTGCTGATGATGTTGTAGACTTCTTAAAGATAAACATTGTCTTACTTGTTTGTTTTTTTGTAATAAGTGATGCCTTGCAAGTGAATGATTGCAAAACCATGGTAGATTTTTTGTATTTTGAGGGTATGGCAAGAATGTGGACCTGACCAGTGAAGGGTGAGATTGGAGCAGTAAATTTGGGGCCAGATTATTATTATTGTTTCTGGATATTATGATTACGTCTATTTTCCCACTATTTAAGATACCTAAATATTGGGTTAAAAGGAGATAGAATTGAAATAAATACTAAGGAATTACTAATGAAACTTTAAAAGTGTCAGCAATTTAATGTCAAATAAGATATCACATTCTATATTAGTCAAGTAAATTTAGAGCAGTGATAAAATTTAATGGAGAAGTTTATAATCCTATATAATAAAAACCTAATATGCTAAGTGTCCAGTCGCCCATTCAACCAATCAAGGCATAATATGCTAATTATATGCTAAGGCCACTCAACCGCTCGCTATGAAGTGCACTAACCACCAGGGAGCAGACACTCTGACTGGTAGGTTAGCTTGCTTCTGGGGTCTGGCCAATCAGACTGAGTCCTTCCATGGTCCCTTCTCAGCAGGCCAACCTCCCGTGTCCCTCCCCACCCCCGATTGTGCATCAGTGGGGTCCCTTGGCCTGGTCTGTGCTCTCTTGCAATCCTGGACCCCTCGAGGGTTGGAGAGCTGGTTTTTGGCCTGATCCTTCAAGCCAGGCTGAGGGACTCTACTGGTGCATGAATTTGTGCACTGAGTCTCTAGTCATACATAAAGTAGTAAAATCATTTTAGTATTCTTTCCAGATATTACATTTATGTCTTAGCACTGTAGACATATTTATTTAGGTTGTTTTCAGCAGTCTCTACTTTTAATTTCAGGATGTGAAGTTGACGGCAAGCAATGATGATTATTATTTTGTATTTGAAGATTATTTATATCAGGTAAGTTGAAAAATTACAATATATAATGTTCTTTTTTTAAGTTCTCTAATTCAGATACTTTGGGAGATATCTCCGTTGTTAACTGAATCCTCCTGAAATCCAAGCCATGTTTATTTTATTTCAAATTAAATGTTCTAAATTTGGGATAAAGTTAACTCTTGTTCTTACATGGGATTAGATGTTAGAACAAGATTGAAGTCAGAGTATGTGTTTTTTTTTTGTTGTTTGTTTGTTTGTAGTGTTTTTTTTTTTTTTTTTTTTTTTTTTTTTTTGTGTGTGTGTGTGTGTGTGTGTGTGTGTATGTGTGTTTAACCAGTTATACTTTAGGGTGGTTTGTTATATAGTAATAGAAACTGAAACAAGTTCTGCTGGCCAAAAATGCAACAATTTGAGCATCAAAAAGTATAGTTACTGACTCCATACACATCAACTACATTTAAATTCACAACTCATTACTGATATATTTTCTAAAATATCATTTGTTATTTTTAGAATTTGCTAGAGCACCAACTTATTCTAAAAATTGATGAACAAAGGAAAGCATCAAGCAGATATCCTTTATATCTTACTTTTTTTGTACACATTGTTTTCTAGGATGGGCAAATAGTTGCTGAAGAAAAATTCATTTTCTTCACTCCCCCCCTCAACTTTATTAAGATATAATTGACATTAACACTGGGTAAATTTAAGGTGAACAATATGTTGGTTAGATACATTTATTTATTACAAAATGATTATCACCACAGCATTATGTAAACCTCCAATCTGTCATATAATTATAACTTCTCTTTTGTAGCAAGAACATTTAAGATCTCTCTAAGCAACACTCATGTAGATAGTAGTGGTATTAGCTATAATCATCGTGCTATACATTATATCTCCAGAATTTGTTAATCGTATATAACTTATAATCTTATAACTTTGTACCCTTTGAGCAATATCTCCTCATTTCCCTCAGCTCAGCCTGCGATCCCTGGTAACCACCACTCTACTTTCTGTCTCTCTGAGTTTGCCTTTTTTTTTTTTTTTTTTTTTAAAGATTCCCTATGTAAGTGATATCATACATTACTTGTCTTTCTCTGTCTGACTTATTTAACTTAGCATAATGCCCTCAAGATTCATTCAGATTGTCCTTTTTTATGGCTGAATAATATTCCATTGTATTTATATTCCACACTGGAGGCCCGATGCACAAAATTTGTCCACAGGGGTGGTGTCCCTCAACCCAGCCAGCACCCTCTCCAATCTGGGACCCCTTGAGGGATGCCCGACTGCCCATTTAGGTCCAATCCCGGTAGGATAGGGCCTAAACGGGCACTCGGACATCCCTCTCACAATCCAGGACTGCTGGTTCCCAACTGCTCACCTGCCTTTGCCTGATTGCCTCTAAGCATTTCTGCCTGCCAGCCTGATCACCCCCTAATCACTCCCCTTCCAGCCTGATCAGCACCTAACTGCTCCATGGCCAGCCCAATAGCCTCTAACTGCCCTCTCCTGCCAGCCTGGTCACCCCCAACTGCCCTCCCCTGCAGGCCTGCTCCCCCCACCACACACACACACACCTTCCCCTGCTAACCTGATCTTCTCCAACTGCCATCCTCTGTCAGCCCAGTCACTCCTAACTGCCCTTCCTGCTTGTTTGATCACCCACAATTGCCCTCCCCTGCAGGCCTGGCCCCCTCAACTGCCCTCCCCTGCAGGCCCGGTCATCCTTAACTGCCCTCCTCTGCTGATCTGGTCATCCCTAACTGCCCACAACTGCCTTCCCCTGCAGGCCACCTTGTGGTGGCCATCTTGTGTCTTGGAGTGACGATCAATTTGCATATCACTCTTTTATTAGATAGGATTTATGGGTTTACATTCTATTCTAGCTAAGGAAACAAGACATGTGCATTAAAAATGTTTTAAAATTGTTCTAAAGTGTTTATGTCAAGCATTGGATATTAAAAAAATTACTATGTACTATATAGGAGTGTGATTTAACCTTATTTTTTATTTTTATCAATATTTTAATCTACATTGTATTAATTTTAAATTTTATATAATTTTTTCAATCACAGATCTAATGGCCTTTGATGCTTATAGTGCCCTGGAAATGACACTAAATAAGCTTTAATGTGGATCTTTATCTCTGTAACATAAGTAAAAGGATAATTATACCATCTAAGCTCTGTTTTTGGTAATTATGCAGAATTAAATTTTCTTCATGTGGATAGTTACTAAAAATATACTCTCCATGATAATAACTTTTAGTGATTTATCTGAATTATTAAAGAAAAGTTGATTTTAAATAATAAAAAGGCAATTGTACACATTAAAAACAATATTTGATTATCAAAAATTGAGTTCAGTTTGTCTCTGAGGAAAATTATTTATATATGTATGTACTTGTGTGTGTGAGTATGTATATGTGTGAGATAAGACAAAAAAAAGCCTTCTTCTTTTTTTTATAATTAAGTACAAGCTTTCCTTTGGCAGAGCTGCCTAGCAACAAAGTGCTCTGTGGGAAAATAGTTGGTGATAACGGAGTGAATTTAATGTTTCTGATCATGTTCTGGGTCTAACCTATTTATTGGGTTTGTGATTAGATTACAGAATTAGATGGCATGTGGCATAGCTGTGTCTGTATACTGATGAGAAAAATTCAGCAATCTCTCATTAAGGAAAATCTGGGCCTATGTTACAAGGATATACAAATATTGTTCCTGAATGTCTCATGGTAGTTATATAAATTTCATAGGTATCAACACTGTCTAGTATACAAATTATTTATTTTTGTTAATCCTCACCCAAAGATATTTTTTCATTGATTTTTAAAGAGAGTGGAAGGAAGGGGGGGAGAGAGAAACATCCATGTGAGAGAAAAATTGATCGCTATGACATGCACTGACCACCAGGGGGCAGACTCTGACTGGTAGGTTAGCTTGCTGCTGCAGTCCAGCTGATCAGGACTGAGTGAAATGAGCCAGACATGCCTTGGAGCCCTCTCTCCTGCAGTTCCTCCCTGACTGGCCAACCTCCTGTGTCCTTCCCTGGCACCGATTGTGCACTGATGGGGTCTCTCAGCTTGGCCTGCTCCCTCTAGCAATCTGGAACTCCTCAGGTGATATTAGAGAGCTGGTTTCAGCCTGATCCTGCAGGTCAGGCTGAATTCATGCACCAGGCCTCAAGAATAAAAATAAAATTTTGAGTAATAAATCAACTTTCTATCATTCCAAAGTTCAGTTTTTATTTTGCTTGAAATTCTTAAAAATACTTCCTGGTGCTGAAAGTCCTAAATTATGTGAGAGTTTTAAAATGTGTTCAAACAGAACATGCCTTTTATTCCATGGAAGTAAATTGGTTATTGTGAATGTCATTTTTAGGTTTCATACTTAATGACATCATGACAATCGGCAAGTTAACTTTTTATCCAAAGTGTATAAAATATTCATGGGGAAAAATTTCTTTATGGTAAAGGGGATTTACTCTTTCTGTTGGATGACAAATCCTCTGTCATATGCTTGGCTTATGTTGCTTATGCTTAATGGTAGTTCTGACATTTAGAGTATGCTTTGGTTACATATATTTTAATGCCATTGAATGGAGTTTAAGGAAGAACCAGATGCAAGCATATATGCTTTATTCATGTATCCATTTTGACAAATTAGTGAGTGTCTGTTTGATACAGATACTGTATCAGGTGCAGCATAAGAAGATTAAGCTCACATTTTAGTGGAAAATGAGAGGAAAGGCAAATACATAGTTATAATTTGATAATTATTTTGATGGCTCTGTAATTTGTAATGTTCCATACAAACACAATTAAAGGGGAAGTAAATTCTGGGAATAATGCAGTTTAGGCTTCAGAATAGAAATGTAAGAAATGTCTGGTTCTGAAAAAAAAAATAAAAGCTCTCAACAGAGAACCCACATGTACTTCCACCACTGCATGTACTTCACCTACCTGCATCTACTCAGCTTTCCCTGCTATTATGGAGGCACTGTTCTTGCTTTTATGTTTGATAAAACCCGTCCCTACGTTCGGACTCTAAAATTCATCTCCCCTTGGTACTCATAGGCAGTGCAATTGTAGTTTTTCCATTGTCAATTTCTCTATCTTCAGATTTCTCCTCTCAGTATACAGATATTCCATTAATCCTCTCATCTGAAAATCAAAGCAAGATAAAATGAAACAAAAATTTTTCTTGATCCTATATCCTTTCCAACTACTGCTCCACCCTCTGTTTCCTTATTTGGCACGACTCCTTTTTAAAAATCCGTAGATACTGTTTTCAATTTCCATCCTCCTATTCTCTCTTGAACTCTCCAAAAGCAGTCCCTTTTTCTTTTCTTTCCTTTTCTTTCCCTTTCTTGTTTTGTCTTTTTCTTTTCTTTTATTTCCTTTCCTTTTCTTTTTTTCCTCAATGGCTCTACCAAAGTTCATGAGAGACTTCATATTTTGGAATCCAATAGTCTGTCCCCAGTTCTGACCTTACTTGATCTATTGGGTCATTCAATTAATCATACCCTCTCCTTGATTCTCCTTGATTTCTTCACGTGGCTTCTAGAACATCATGATTTTGGGTTTCCTTCTCATTCATTCACCTCTGCTGGCTTTTCCTCATCTTCCTGTCCTGTTTTGGAGTGCCCCAAGGATAAGTCCTTGGATCTCTTTAGGTTTTTATGCCTTTGCCCTTAGTGATTCTCATGGCTTTATTGCCTGACCAGTTTCAGATCCCTAACTGATATAGCAAACTTCTCCCAATGTGTGTGTGTGTGTGTGTGTGTGTGTGTGTGTGTGTGTATGCATGCACTATCCCTCTTGTCTGCATTATGTTTCTCCATGGCATTGAACACCAAATGACATATAATACATTTTACTTTTTAACCTGTATCCCTTCATAAAAACATAATCACTATGAAGATAGGGATTTTGGGTTTTGTTGTTGTTGTTGTTGTTACTTATGGCTGTATTTTTAGTTTGCAGAACAGTGGCTGTCACATATTAAGTGTTCAAT